TAAATTTCCAGTCTCATCCCCAACCTTAGCCTTACCCTTATCTGCAGCAGTGAGTTTACCCTTCCCTTTATGTGTATTAGCATTCACTTTCTCTGCCCTAGGAAGCCTCTCCTCAGCCTCCCTGTCATGTATAACAATGCCTTTTAACCTAGGGCTTCTCCTAAATGGCTCTTCTTCAGTGGGCTTACTAAGTTCTGGGCTGGGTTTGTATACTTTAGGCCCACCAAACCTCTTTTTCAGTTCATTCCTTTGTGCAGGGGTTAGCTCATTCCCAGGTATACATTTGAAGGGTGTTTTGTTAGTCCCTTCAATTGGCTCATGACTGGTAACATACATCTCACATGCCCCTCTTTGTTCACCGACTCTAGGAAACCATTCACCTCACCATCAACAAGCTCCCTTTTACCATTCACCCAAGACTTGCCCTTTTGTTTATACCAGCAACTAAACCCCCTAGGAACCTTCACATTCACATACACAAACCCATGTATAGCTGCTTGCCTCAAAAAGTGTACATCTATCTTATTTTTTTCCACCTTTCTCATCCAATAAACCCACCCACCATCCCAAGTTAACACCCTCCTATTTTTACCAGCTAAAGAAGGTATAAAGGCACCCCTAATGTAATTTTTAAGTTCACTGTGTCCATTCTGTAACAACACCAACAAAAGCACACACAACAATAACCAATTTCAGTAATTACAGTAAACAACAAAAACCAATTCACCAATTACAGCAAGTAAAAGCAATTCACATTGACTATGCACTAAATTAACAGTAACCAAGTACATCTAATTAACTAATTATTTAACAAATGCACACTCTAATTCAGTCAAAGATTCGCATAATTAGGGTTTATAATACTTTAATTCACAGATTCCCCAAAAAGGCATACTTTACCCCAATTGACAACCATAAATCCAACGAAATGTACTAATAAAGGGTTTAAAGTACCTCTTGTAGTCAGGAATCTCGATTTCTGTCAGCAAATTACCAAGCTTTTGGTCCCCTCACCCTGTGGAAGATGACAAGAGAAGCTGATGTGTTGCAATTTTGTGGTTCCAGCTCGATTTCAACCACCCAAATTGATCTAGGGTTTCAGTTTTTACAGAGAGAAAGAGAAAATTCAAAGGAGAGAGAAGCAGTTACAGTGAGAATCAAGAAAAATCAAAGGAAAGAGAGACGAAAATTGATGAGGAAGTGAGAAATTTGGTGAGACATTGATTATGGAAGGTGGAAGGTGAGAAAAGGAGGAGACAGAGGGAAATCGATTTTAAAAGAATTAAATTGGAGGGAAGTGACAGTTAACTGGGCCCCACAAGCGTTTTCTGTCACCTGAGCTCAGATGAGGTGGTAATACTGATGTTTAATTTTTTTATGAGGTGGTAAAGTAAATGTTTTTTTTTTTGGAGGTGGTAAATTCGACAAAGTCATTATTTGAAGGTGGTAAAAATGAAAATACCCATTATTTAATGATGAATTGAATTATGGTGAAAGTCACAACTCTTAGTAAAAACAACTTTGAAGCCCAACACTCGAAAAGATCACTCACTACTCACAAGTCATGCCTTTGCTGTATTGAGTATGACATTTATGGAATACAACAAAGTAAGATGCAAATGACAATACATATCATTCTAAATTTCTAATGACTACTCGTAGTCATTGCCATTGCTAAGATAAAGCTTCATCATCTAAAAAACCATGTGGGAGCTCCACTTGTATTAAATTACAAACATCAACTTCTCTAAATTATGCAACAAAGTTGGTTGCAATAACTAATTATGTCATTAACATATTATTTTAAGCAACATAAAAAAATATTCCATTTTTCTCAATCAAATAATTATTTAATTGAATGATTATTATTGTCCTTGCATTAAAGATTCTACTTAAATACTTGTATTGTAATTATCGAAGATGATAGAGACTAGACAAGGGTTTCAAACTTTCAATTAGTCAAAATTCGAGCCATACACCCTAATTTTACTTATATCGATCACTACTTTTGAAGTTTATAATATGTCATAAGTAATTCATTTTTCACTGCAAATATTAAATTCTAAAGCATTACCGATTATGGAATGTGAGTTAGAAGTAATCCGTAATATATATCAAGTCGTTCTTTATATAGTGATAAGCTTGATAAATCATACACTTTATCAATGTAAATACTACGGAAATTAATCTTGTAGCCTTGTAGGTGATTACAAATGATGAAGATGACAAATTATTAGATTTAATTGCAAAGTATCACTCTCATGTATAATACTTCGTAGTAAATTTTCTTTTTATATTAATTCCGATAAGTTAATTAGGTTGTAATCTTGATAGAAGGTTATCTTATTAACTTTTGTGTATCTTTCTTCTAAGTAAAAATAAAAAATAAAAAATGTATAACTAAAAGTCAATCAAATAACTAAATTTGACATAGTATCCAATTTGTTACTCTTTACACGGCTTTAATAAAGGAAGAATGATGTAGTCAACACATTCTTTTTAACAAGTTCTCAAGTTGGTTGCTGATTACCTTATCCACTATTCATATCCGCCCTGGTCGTTTATCAAACACCAGTTTTATTGCTGCTACCCAACTTGCTTCACAAGTCATATACTAGACTATACTCCATTCATGTATACATATACGTGATATATTTTATCAGGTCGAACAAGGTTTGTATCTTGGGATCAAATTTCATTAGAGACTTTTTGGGATGGGCATTCCTTTACCCCCCTCCCAAAAGCCCTACCCGTTAACTCGAGTTAGGTGGACTTGTGAGATGTTCCGGTCAGATAGGACCTTTCTCCTAATCAACCAAAAGTAAAAATGTACTTCATACGTAATATATTGTATTCATATGTATGCATATGAAAAACAAGACTAGTTCTCCATTTTCTTTTACTTGCAATATAGTCTCATTGCACACTTTTTGAGCTATTGTCAATTTATCATTTCCGATACATACATAATTAGCACAATTAAAAGAAAATGGAATAGATATTGGTACGAACAATATAATTGAGCAAGAACCCATTGCATCAAAAAAATAATAATTGAACAAGAATCTAAAACATAAGAATCGATCAAACAAATACAAGTATGAACAATTGTAAACTTATACTACTAATAAATACTTGTAAGTTGTAATAACTAAACACATGTATGACCAAATGAGCGGCTAGGACTCTTTAAAGGGGTACTTATTATAATATCCCAATTGCTGAAAACCAGTTTTCAAGTAATACTATAAAATTGAGGGCATATGCGGTACACCAAACACATCATTAAGGAATAACAAAAAATTCAAACACTTTCTAAGCGACCAAAATACGTATATTCTTCCTCAAAAAAAATACGTATATTCTCCCTCAGTTCCCAGGTGATTACATGTCACAATGATGAGTTACTAGCAGAATCAAAATCACAATTGCAGGATCGATCCTCGCAAATCAATTACTTTATATTTCTTCTGCAATGAAATTGCCCGTTTTTACATCGGTTGATAGACTATATAGTAATTGTTACTTGCTTATTTTGTAATAACTAACATTCATTTACCAAATACTTTTACACAAACAACTAATCATAATCAATTAGTCAAACACAGTTAATGCAAATAGTTAACAATCTAATAGTCAAATCAACTAAAAGCTAATTGTCAAACAGAGTCATATATATGCTAAATTACTAACAAACTATTTCGTATATATAAGTCATTAGTAACGTACCTTGTAGGCTGTAGCAGCTAGCAGGCATCTCAAGCTCTTATTAATACCTAGCTAACTCGTAGCTAGAGCTCTAGTCTTAAAAGCATGCATATGCATGTTTGTGTATGTGCATGTTAGGTACATACTTAGGTATCAATCATCAAGAATTAAGAATTCCAATAGAGAATTAACACACCTTTAATTAGAAAGTAATTTATTTATTACAGAGTACATGTTATATAATTTCATGCATTGTCAAAGCATAATATAATTAACATCCTTTAATGCTTAAGGCACATATATATCTTATTCATTAATCATTATTAGTTGCATTATATGAAGTTTCATGCATACTAATCACCCTTTATACCATATATTATGTATTAATCTAATAAAATCCCACATTCAAGAATCAAAGAAAATAATGAAATCAAAGTTGATTATAGTATTTCTCTGTGCTACCTAGCCAAAAATCAACCTTACTCAGCTTTTTTAATGGTTCATCGATAGGCCAAAGCGAACTAAATGAATATCCCTTTTATAATTCAATAAAAATATTTATGAATAATAAAAGACACGAGTCCTCGATTATAAGGTCATAAATGACTTAATTAAACGCAATATTAACTAGCAAATTCTAGTAAATAAATCATCAATCGTTTAAACCTATATAATTGATATCCAAGGAGTGAGATTGAATCTCATCCACACAATATTAACCCCTTATAAGTTGTACCTCCGCGCACACGCGAAATGACGAAATTACACACCCAAAATTCCTACTAGTCTAAAAAACCCAAAGATAAAGTTAACTCACGGTTTTGGTCACACTCCATGGGGCAAAACATTAGACTATAAATCGATTACATTTTTTTTTTTCAACTTTTTATAACTAACATTAAAAATACAAATAGGTCGGCGCCAAAAACAATATTAAATCGGGACCCACTCCCACCCACTTGTGGATTATAAAAAACCCCATAAAATAAATCAACTAACAACCTACGTCAACCAGCCTGTCACGTGCCACAAACACCAAACTTACACGTGCCAACTTCTCCTAACAAAGCAACACGTGGACCAATCAAATGGCTGAAACTGATCGTATCTCCTTGCCCACCTCTCCGCCACCAATTCTGATCCTCCCTTAATTTACAAACTTTAATCCCCCATCGTTCTTTTGATTACGCTTGTCACGTGTCGTTCTTATATTAATCCATTTCCTAAATTACCCTAATAATAATTAAAATTAAAATTTATTATTGAATTATTCTTTTTTTTTCCTTAAAAAAAAATAAAATTAATTAGAAGAGTAGAAACAATTCGAGATTGCTCTATTTTCTCTCTCTATTATTCTCCATTTTCTCTCTCCTCTCGCTTCTTCTGTAGTCTCTAGAACTTCCTGGAAGATCTGATTTAGGGTTTTTGTTGGAAGATTTTGATTTTATTTTGTTGTTTTTATTGCTATCAAGTTTGTTAATTAAAGGTGAGTTTGGTTGAATTTTTTTAAATAATTATTATTTCTGTAATTTTTGTGTGGGTTTTGGTTGATTTTTTAGCATTTTTGAGGATTTTTTTGGTGTGGAATTAGTCAAGTTGATTCAGATTTAAGTTTTTTTTTTTGTTGATTTAAATTATTTTTATTACAGAGTTGAAATGGGTTGATTTGTTCATTGAAAAAGCAATTTTCTTTAATAATTAAAATTTTATAAGTTGTTTTTAGCTGTTATTACTTGGAATTTGATTGAAAAGTAGCAGTAAACTAAGAAATGAGGTTTTTGGTTTATTTGATATTGATTAAAAATTGTTTTTTCTTGATTGATTGATGAATTTGATCGATTTATATATACTTTTGTTTGTGTTAATCTGCAGAAAAAGGTGTGTAATTCTAACATGTCGATTTGGGCAATCTATGTTTTACAAACTGGATAAAGGGTTTATAAAGTGATGTCAGATTCGCGAATTTACGAGGTATTTAATCATTTTTCCAAGTATAATTCTTGTTTGTTCATGTATTATTTGATGTATCAGACCTTTTTTAAGTAAAAACTCTGTTGAATCGGCGAATTTCCAGTTTACGATCGAATTAAGTCTGTTGTTACTGTCTAAGGCACAAGATTAGTCTTCTCGGTGTGAAAATGATGTAAGTTAGTGGTTGTTGATGGTAATTCCCTTGCAGTTAAATTAGAATTTGAAATGATGTTTGATTTCATTACATTGGAGTTCTCTCTATTTACGCGCATTCGCTATGATTGACAAAAGGCTGGATTGTAGGAGTTTGATTAAATTTCTGAGAATTCAGCTGTACTGTAACTGTAGCTAGTCTGCTAGAGATAGGTGCAGACTTCTGATAATTCGTTACGCCATGAAATGGGGGGTATCATACAGTGGGTTGTTTCGGATGTAGGGTGGAGAATGTGGTAATGCACAAATTGGCTTCGAAGAATTTCGTAGTTCTCCCTAGGTCCCTGTTACTGGATTCTTGATGTCCTGTTATTAGCTACACTGATGTTTTGCTTTTCCCAAATATCTTTCATTCCGCTGAAGCTATAGACAACTTGGCTGAAGTAAAATCAGAAGGATTGAAGACTAGAGTTTCCCTTGGGGCCATTCAAACCTTTCTTCAAATGTGCCTTTTGATGTATGAAGTGTGTTTGTTCTCTTGATAATTGTCTTCTCTATCTCCATTTTGTATTATACTATGCTGGTGATTGGTCTTGATTGAATGATCCTTGCTTTGTGTACAACATGAAACATGACCTTGATATGTAGAATAAAAACTTTATGAAAACTAAATCTTTATTATTAGACAACAAATACATTGATCGTCTTCTATTGTTGCAGCTAGAAGATATTGTCTGGGAATTAGGTGACAATGACGATCATATAGTGCCTCAACCTGGAGGCAAAAGGAGTGGATTTTCACTTGAGAGTGACAGTAGTAAGAGTCAACGGCTTCAGCTACGATGTGCTGTAAATAATGCTGACAACAGAAGTGCTTCAGGCAATGTTATTCATAGAAAGGAGGGAACACACTTTTGTTCTGTGAAAGAAGAAAAGGAAAAAATGATGGATAACAGCCCACGGACCCACTCATCTAGTGGAGGTTTATCTGCTTCACTTGATGGGGAATGTAATGGAAAAATTAAACGTTCCCCGTCTGATGAAGAGAGGACTTTTGAACACTGTATGACAAGTAGTAATATGGATCCTACAGGTGATGAAGAGAGGACTTTTGAACACTGTATGACAAGTAGTAATATGGATCCTACAGGTGATGGAATATGTGTGGGGGATCCTGTACTTGAAGAGCGAGCAGCTTCTATGGACAATAACTTGTACCAATATGAGCTGAACAATGCAACTCATGCGGAAAGTGGTCTTGACTTTTTTGGTAATAATCTTGATGACAAAGAGAGCAACGATCTATTGTACTATCAATGGTCTGAGATAGAAAATTTTGAGGATGTTGACCGGATGTTCAGGTAGTTGGATACTGTCATTGATATCCCCATTACCTTTTGCCATTTTCTTGCAGATCGAAAAATGTTTATTAACTTGCTCAAATATGGACTTATATGGTGCAGAAATTGTGATTCAACTTTTGGTCTAGATATTGACAATAATGTTGAACTGGGCTGGTTTCCAACTTCACATGCAATGGAAGGATCTGATGATGCAATCAAGCCAAGCTTTAACTTTTCAGACTGCAGTACAACTGGACTAGATGGTGTGACTGAACAGCAAGAAGTGTTTGGGATGAACAATGGTTTAGTAGCTGATGAAAGCGATGAGAAGCTTACAGTAGTTGACTGTAAGAGAGTATCAGAGAAGTTGACTGCAAATGGCCCTTCAACTGTCTTGCATTCCTCTAACGTTAATGGATCCAGTGTTATTTCTAGTATTGACAATGAATCACAGGTTAGGAACTTATATAGGTGCCTGCCTTTGCACTAGCTGGATGGACGATAATATATATTTTGCTTACCAAGTATACACTATGCTGTTTAGTTGGGTCTCATAATGACCTTTTTAAATCCAAATTGAAGTATCTATATATTTGTATGGTTAGCTTATGTGCTGTCAGTGTTATAAGCATTTCAACGAATATTTTTTTACACTTTTTATTACCAATAACTATTGACATGTCTTACTTATCCTGAAGAAAGAAGCATAGCAATTTAAAAGAAGCTAGTAGCTCACTGTTCAATTAGACTTCAAATGGTTAGTTTATTATTTTAACTTCTTATGCTAGTTGAGGGCTTCCTGGTTTGTTAAGGATATGTGGTTGTTTTGGGGAGGTTAAGGGTGCTGTGCTGAATGATCAACTTCCTGTGGAATTTAGCCTTTTTCTTGTTTCCGGGTTAAACCCTCTTACTGTTAGGTACAAGTATGTTTTTTGTAATTTTTTAACCCTTCTGAAGGAGCGATTTCTGTGTAGATAACAGTTACAGACAAAGTTTTACATTATTAACCAGGAGTAATCTATGGATCATATATTCTGAGACATTATGCTTTTCAGATCATGGCCTCGATTTGGAATGATACTCCAATCTGATTCACAAAGTTCAATCTGTTCATGAAAATTTGCGGCTGTGAAATTGTGCTTTTCTCACTGGAAAGTTTTACTTATGAACTAATTATCACAAAATTTTACATTCACATCATGACAATAGCATATGCTGCTGTAATATCCACCCCATATGCTCATTTGTGTCGTACCAGTCTTGGTTGTGTTCTTGTACCTTGTGTTTGCTAGACATGGTCACCATGTTCGCTAGTTTTATGTGATCTCAAAGATCTTTCATATTTAACATGAAATGTGTGGCCTTTGTGATTTGTAGTTTAGTACTTGTGTGTGTTTTTGATATTTGTAGGCTCACAATATCAGCAATGTTCGTATCCATTCTCTCTTGAGATTAGTGATTGCTTTTTTACATTTGGTTTCATTATGTGACAGATCCAGTCTGGTATCAGCCAGCCAAAGCATCAGAAACCATCAGAAGGGAAAAGAAAAGAGCGCCCTTCAGATAATATTGTCTCTTTCATTCAATTTGACAGCCTAAATCAGGCAGTGGAGTCAAACCATTCATTGAACTTCCAATGTAATCAATCTTCCGAAAATAGTCAACAGAAGGAAGCTTCTCATTGCACTTCTGCACAGATACCAATTCCTTTGGTAAATCCCAATGACAGTCGTTTTACTAATCAAGGTTTACAAAGCACGGCGTCATCTATAATTAAGTCTGAAGATGGTGGCCTTCCATCAGTACCCCTAAAAAGGTCTTCATATGCATCCAATCAGATGCAATCAGTGGAGAGAGCTCATGATGTTGCTCTCCAGAATCCTTCAACTCCCAGGAACAAGAAAAAAGACAGGCCATTTCAAAGCAAATTATCTGGACATCCTGAAAAAGGCAACTTAATGGTTGAAAAAGCTGATTCTGATCCAATTTGTGTACAGAAGCTATGTGATCTTGAAAATGAAGCTGAAGGTCAAAGTGAAGTCGATGATGAAGCTGGCATTGCAACAGAGTTGGACTCATCTAACATACAGGAAAGTTCTTGTATGAGCTCAGTCTTGGATGAAGTCTCAATTGATGCTAGTAGTTTTCAACAACTACAAAATGTCATGGAGAAGGTATAAACTTGATATTACTTGAACTTCTGAATATCATCTCGCAAAGTTGTAGCATTGTTTTCACTTAGTGAATAGAGTGTCTGATAAATTGCACCTGTTTCTGTAATGAAGCTATGTGATCTTCTTGTTGTTTAGTGGATCTGGAAGCTATTCCCTCTGTTTTGTGTCTTCACACCTAACAAAAAATTCTATACATTTGACCTTGGAAGTTTTGTATGCAAGACTAGTGTCAAGTAATCATAAGATCAGCTGAAAATATTGTAATATGCAACTTTCCTATTTGTATTTTTGTTTTCTTCATTCATTGAAATGACTTCTTCACTGTTCCGCTTATTCTGAATCTGATTAACCTTGAAATGTTTTCCAGCTAGACGTAAGGACAAAAATGTGCATAAGAGACAGTCTCTATCGGTTGGCCAGGAGTGCTGAGCGAAGGCATAAGTGTGTCAACCCTATTGGTGGTGACAAAGATGATAAAGATACAAGTGGAGCTTTTCTATCTGATGGAACAAATAAGTATGAATTTTCCAGCCCTTAAAGTTTCTCCAAATGCTGATGTATTCTTCTGTTATCTGTTTGAAAGTAATTAATGCTAATTTGGAATGTCAAAGGAAATTGTCAAATTTTCTGATATAATAATGATTAGATGATGGTGTAAATATGTGTGTGTATGCTGTTAATTATTCTTATCTATATGGTGGTTTCACACAGATGCACAGGATTTATGGATATGGAAACTGATACGAATCCCATTGATCGATCAATAGCGCACTTGTTGTTTCATAGGCCGTCAGACCCGTCTGCAACAGCTCCTTTGGATGCTCTGCCTGTGAAAGCTCACACTATGGTATGCTTTTGGTATTTCTTTTTTTACTATTGTGTTTGGCAACTCTTTGGTAATACTGTGTAACTATTAAATTGTCGACAGCTGTAGATGAATTCCAGTTCTCACTGAATGCTTATTTTATGCTATTTTATTTTGAAAAGAGAATTTTTAAGTAAAGTTAATTATTTCCGATGGTAAAAGTATTAGAAATTGATTTTACTAATTGATTTTTATTGATTAATAATGACTTTATGGAGTACTCCAATACTAAGCTAGTGTTTTAAACTTTTTATCACATGCGAAACTAATTTTTGCTTATTGAAACTAATATACTTATTATAATTGATTTGTACTGCTTGATAACTAATTTGTGCTCATCAAAGCTCATTTCAAGTTGAAATTGAATTTTGCTGGAACTGGTCTTGTAATTTCAAAAGAACGTGGACTAAAGCCTAAATAGGCTTTGGCAATTTTTTAGAGAGTTCTTTTGGCTGGGATGTCATGGGTCACTTGGTAAAGAACTTCTGTGCGTGAGTTTGAATGTCCAATGTATATGAAATTAGTTTTATACCTAGGGGGAACATCCGTGACTGCATACCCTATTCGACTGTAGTTCCCAACATATAGCAGTGAAGATGTACTTTAAAACTACCCTTAATATGGGAACTGCAAGCGAATCCTATATTTCAATTGTGACATGGGGCATGGAGTGACTAGTGAGTTAAGATGGTAGTGGCTTACCACAAAGATTGTGACCCTACTCTATCCTTTCTTGTTATATTGTCTTAGTTGTAGCGATGTGTTCGATGTTTAGCCATAGGTACCAGCCCATTGCCTTCCTAGCTTTCTACAAGCTAAAGTACCCAACCATGCTTCACGGTATGAGGTTAGCAGTATGATATAATTATATTTAATTAATTGAACCATATTTCTAGACGTATGAGTGTACATGTCAAACAGGGTGATTTTAAATTGAATAATTACCCATAATATTATGTATAGACTAAGTATAAATTGTGACTCAGAATTTTAAATTTTCAGTTAACCCAGCGGAATAATTAAGTCGTTTCCCTACCTAAATTGATTTTAAATTGAATTATTACCCATAAAATTATGAATAGACTAAGTATAGATTTAATTTTCTCATAGACAGTTTCTAACTCATCATATGTTTATTTTGAGTCATTATGATACATAATATTTTTTTTTAACAAGACTTTAATCTACCCAATAATATGCAAAAGTATTTACTCAAAAATTCAACCCAGAGTAGGTCAGAATTTTCCTACTAATTTTTAGATTATTCTAGTTAAATCAATTTCAACATCCACATCATGAAATCATGTTGAAACTCCATGTTTCAGATCAAATGTCAAGTTGGTCAAATTTTGACTATTGACATCGTTAACATGTTTCTTGTCCTCCTTGGCAATTGGAAATGTCTCAAAGACCTGTCCTTTGGGGGCCTAGTATTATGATTGAAAAGAGAATACTATTGAATCTGAGACTGATTTCTCATCGGAATTTCAGGGTCAGGCACGTAGTCATGGTCCATTGATAGCAGAGAAACCTGCTTTTCGAGAAGAAACTACTTCAGCTAATGGTGAAGCTGCTGAACACTGATTTTGAAAGCTGATGTGCAAACAAATTCCTCTACGAGGTCCCTGAGAGCAAGTGGCTTCAGTCCTGAAAGTTTGGCATACTGTCCTGTAGTTCTTCATGGTCAGTTATGTCGACACTTGTAACTATTTTCTTCTTTATTCATGCATGTACTTGCAAGTTGCAATACCAGTTTACCAATTTGTATTATACTAGAGTTACTTTAGGAAGAGTTTTAATTTTGCTTGTCAGTTAGGTGATATCTTTTTGTTTGTTTGTTTGTTTGTTTTTTTTTTTTTTTTTCAAATCTTTTACTGGCTGTTTTCTCACTAATCATAAATTGTACTTGCTCACAACCTGTCTAATTTCAAGTATCATACTGCCATAGATTGTTTATTGTGCCTTGTAGTTAAGATCTACTCTGGGCAGATCGTCCGACATTTCTGGGGTTGTCATGCTGTGATTGTTGAGTGTTCATGCCGAAATTATGGAAATTTAGTATATGATAATGTATAGAAAGGTAGAGCAATCTGATGGTGTGTAGACTTTAATCTACCTAGTATGTATTCTTATATAAATTTGCTGGCTAGACCTGCCCAGTTATGCAGGGAGAGGATGTCGGCAACTTCTTCTGGCTTAAAAGGCTTGAGTTTCAGACTACTGTTTGAGGGAAGATGCTGATCAGAAGCCTCCAAAATACAGATGGATTCTAAATCACTGCATTCAGCAACTTATTGTGTACATTTTATTTTTGGCATCATATGTACATTGACTTTAGGGAGATACCATGTTCAAATTTGAATTTGTTTCGCAAATGTTCAAATTTGGCTAGCTAATGTCTTCTTGTAGCTGTATTTTGTTGCATTACCTGCTATTAAAAATAACCGAGTTCGACATGCTTATTTTGGATATATTCAATTGACTAAAGAAGTAAGGAGAATGAAAATGGAGAGAAGAGGAAGAGAGGTTACTGAAGCTATGCAAGAAAGAAAAACAGTATTCCTTGCTGAAATAAAGAATTGGAGTAGTATATGTATTGCCAATTTTAAGAAATTGCTTGAGCCGAAGAAAACAGCTATTGCTTCTTCTAGCAGAGGTCATTGCTTTCTAAATCATCCCAAAAATTGGCACAAAACTTATTGACATTACGATTTCTATCTCGGTTTGGAAGAAAGAATAAATTAGCGAGGGGGAATTAATATAAAGTTTATACAGCTGCACTCATTTTGGCTCAACCATGGGGGTCACACATTTCTGAGGCATGTAACAACTTACTATAATTACCATTGGTAAGGCAATGCATTCCATATTACAACCAATCGCCACCAGTGGCGGACCCAGGAATTTCCGACTGATGAGTCACAATCGATAACCAAATATGTAAAAAAAAAATTTGACAACATGACAAGCTTAGCTCTCTAATAATTGACAAGATTAAAATTTGTACAAGCATTAGGGTGTATTCACAATTTGACAGACATAATTGACTATATCATTAGAGTGGGTCGACTATATCATAAGCAATCGTCCGAATCGTCAATCAAATCAGCACATATGCAAAACCCCATATAAATCTACCAAAGTCAATGGTGTATTGACAATTTGACAGACATAATTAACATCAATAAACACCCTAAATAAACACTGATTACAATTCACATGGTCAAAAAGGTTCAAATTTCATCAAAAACCCAACAACATTAACAAAAGGTTCAAAGTTTACCAAACAAACAACAACAAAATCAACCAAAGAAAATATTTTTTTTTTTTTTTTTTTTTTAAAAAAAAACTTAGAAATTTTTTTTGGGCCCTGGTGAGTCATTTGACTCACCATGCACAAGGGCAGGTCCGCCAATGATCGCCACAACCCCCACCCCCCCCCCCCCCCTTCACACAAATAGCTCCATATGGTACGCGTTACTTTCATCCCTAATCCCTCGAAATTCAAATGAACAAGACGTGCACTGATACCGTATGTCTGGGTGTTCTCCAACTTCAGAATACCAATTGAACTTGATCTTAAATTTATAACAGAGAAAAGATTTTTCCCACATAAATTTGGGTCTTGGGGAGGGGAGTTGGAATTAGAATTGGAATCTTGGATTCTAATGAGCGTGATCACAATCATCATACACATGATACAAGCATAAACACAGTTGCAATTCCTTCCAGAAAGATCTTCGAATTTAACTAACATCATACAATAGTCATAACACTAATTTCTGGAAGAAATAAAAAACAGGCGGCTATGCTAAGCTTTCACTGATGTATGTTGCCAGCAGAATTGTTCCTTCAAATCTGCTAATCAAATTGCTGCCTGAGGTGCATCTCTGTCTCACTTTTCCAACTAGCATGAGAAGACTGGCCTTTCAATCGCTTGTTTTTCTCTTTATCTTTAACGGTTGATCCCTTCTTCTTTGAGTCATCTAATGGACATACAGGACAAATCATCCCAAGGGCACTGGAGTAAGTCAAGGGTATACCGCATTGCAAGCACATCCTGAAACAAGATTCATATGGCTGACTTCATTGATTTAAATAAAATAAAAATAAAAATCATACAAGCTCAACAAATGGAATAAAACTCATTCCTTACCCCCAAGCTAACAAATGATAGGAGTATTACTAAATCAGATTAACATGATCATCCAAAGCAGTTCATGATAAAACAGATGTATAATGTATATGTACCCCAAGGTCCCCAACTCTAATGATACAAATTATGTGAATTTTTCTCTCAGATCAAATGATAACAAAATGCTGACTGAAGATGAAACTAACAAAAAGAATTGCCTCAAAAACCCTGTTACAGAAAATAAACTATATGTGCATCATTAACTGTGCTAGAGCAAGATGAGTAAGAATACCTTGGTTGAGAGCCATCATCAGTTTTAGTAGCAGTGGGTGGTTTCTGAGGCTGCGTTGAATCAGTAGAGGGAACATTACCCTCAACATCACTCCTTACTCGTTCACGAATGCCAACTATATGGGCCTTGGCTTCCACCACAGCACCTACAGGAACAACAACGTCATCTAATTTTATTTACCCACAAAAGAAATCACATGTAAGCAAAAATTGGCTGCAAAACAACAGAGAACTCCACTTGCACCCTGTCAACATGTCAAGTATGAATTTCTAGAGACTTCTACCATAGCACATATACTTTAGCTAATTGGATTGTAGATTTCTGTTCCAGGATTGTCATACATCTTTGTTGGCAAGCAACATTCAGTCATAAACTTGGCCTCAATGTAAATGGTTTATATTACACATCGCGATACCATTTATGCTCTAGGAATTCTACTTTGCAATGCTCATCAATCAATGCCATTTCGACAACCAATTCAGAAGCATTATTCTCTTGTGACTGATATTGTTCCTAAGAAACTTTTCAAGAAAACATGAGGTGCTATCCCTTGCCATTTCAAAGCGTACTACACACATTAGATATTTTTTTTTCTCACAGCAAGTGTTAAGAATGCTACCAAATGCTGTACAAACTAATTCAAAAGGGTTTTCAGCTCTTTACTTTGATTTCACTTTTCATGGATGTTCCAAATAATATCTACAAAGTATCACTTTATACAAAGGGGCAAAAAAAAGGAAAATAGCCCGCCACCAAAGACACTAGGTACTCTCCTCTTGCTCTACTAGCTTCCTCAAAGCACCATGATGGACCTTCTGAACTCAATGCTCATGTCTCAACAACAAAAACTCTACAGTCATCAGATTTATGTTATCTTCCCTTATACAATTAAGTTCAGATCACTCATCAAAGACTTTATAACTCGTCTTACAATAAAGGGCATATATAGAGTATTTACTGCTTCCGATTACAACACATTCCTATATCCTCCATGAACCCCTACTTTCATCAAATTTCAACCTTTTATTGTTCGAAGAAAGCGCATACCAATACTTCTCCAATGAAACTAAAAAAAAAAAAGGCAACCTAGCTGTTCACAAGCTCAATGCAACTAAACTCAACACAAAGTGGATTAAAGCTTAGTATAAGTTCATCATATCTCCTGACAAGCCAAGCTCAAGCTAATACAAAAAGAACAAGTCTACCTGTATAGAGTACCTAATTGAGAATAATAATGAAAGTACTCACCACATCCAAAACCCTGACCAACTTATTGAAAAGTCAAAAAAGGAATTTCAAAATGTTAGCCTTATACCACATCAATTTCAAATTGAAATTAAACCCCAAGATTACCCAACTCAAAATCAAGCTCAACATGAAATCCCAAATATCATCCTGCTCCCACTAACCAAGAGATATTTTCCTCAAGATCCCCAACCACGCTTATTCGATGTCTCTCCGAAGATTTGGATTCTCAAAACAACACAATCCATCCAATCAATTTGATCTCTTTTCAAGTGTTCATGACCCTCAATTCATATTCTAGCTCTCTCTCCATATATTTCTACATCAATCGAGATCTTTTAACCTTCCGTTCAAGCTCCTACCTTTCCACCTTGAGAAAGGCAATCCCTCATCAATTCAAACACAAACATGAGCATATGCTTAAATAAACTGCAGCTAGGCGAACACCAGGTAAAAATTCTATAAACCCAATTGTGTGCTACCATCTCTTCCAAGAGCTCCAGCCTAGTTTCCGATATCTCTTAGAGGGTGTTTGGTTCACATACTTAAGGTATGGGTTTAGAATGGTTTAAACCCATACCTTATGTTTGTTTTATGATTTTAAGAGTTGCAAACCCATACCTCAAACCCCCAAAGTATGGGGTTTAGAAACCTAGGGGGGAGGTGGGTTTGGCTCATTCCCATACTTTTAGGTATCAAAAAAAAAAAAAAAAAAAAAAAAAAAAAAAAAAAAAAAAAAAACTGCATTCCATAATCATACCAAACATATAGTATTAAGAATCAAGTTCCAAACCCATACCACTATAATTTCATTCCTGATTCCAACTCCATACCATTTTGCGAAACAAACTCCATACTATTTTGCGAAACAAACGCCCCCTTACATATAAAGCTCCTTCTTTTACAAAAAAAAAAACTAAAGTATAACCTTCCCAAAGACTTGACTTCAATGGTTCAAAAACCCTAATAAACATCCCCCAAAATAAATGTAAAAAAAATTGAACTTTAGTTAAATGACAGATTGGCAGATGAATTTTTCAATAGAATATGAATTATGAATACAAGTACCAATATTCATCCAAATTTCAGGTCTAATTAATCGCCAAAACGATAAAATAGGTAATATGTCAAAAATTATGCAACATACCTGTAGGCAGATCTTTCTTGTCTCTGCTTTTCTTGCGACCTCGATGAACAACAACATCTCTTCTCACACTCTGATCTTCTACGCAATTATTAAGAAACTGAGGTGGCCCTGAAATCTCCAAAACCCCAACAAAAAAGGGAAATTCAAGCAAAAATAAGAAGTGGGTAATCAAATTTACTATTCAAAATCAAAATTGACAAAAAAACCCATCTCAAAAAATGCAGTAATTCAACGAAAATTGAAAGAACTTGAGGAGAGAGTAGTACTAATTACTTCGGAGAAAGCGTCGAGGGCAGAGGGAAGAGCTGAGTCGTGAGAAGATTTAGGGGCGGCAACAGGGCGGTAAGAGGAGGGAATGCGTGAAACGGCGGCGTTGTTGTCGGAATCAGAGTCATCATCTTCGTCGGAGAAATTGTGGTAGTGATGATTTGATTCTTGTTGTTCGTCTTCTTCTGCGGAAGAGTAGCTTTGGATCAGTGCCAAGCTCATTGCTGCGCCTTCCTTCTCTCGTTTGTGTTGTGACTAGTGAATTTTTTTGTTAAAGGGTGGGGAACTAATGAGGTCATACGGAGTAATTTGATATCCACCCACAAGGCCGCAATTAATTATCGCGAACCAATAAAGTGTTAATCGTACGGGTTTGGAGTTTGAATTCTGCCAAATAATTGTTTTAAACCTTTGTTTTTTTATTAGGAGATTAGGATGGTTGTAAAGATAGTGATGTAGAAGAGATTAAATCACAAGTTTTGGGTATCACCTTTAAGACTTTAACAACTAAAGTAATTTACATCCACGTGTACTATGACTTCGTGACAAAGATCCATAATTATTTGTTCCTCGCTTCCTCATATTGTTACTCTTTACCGATTACTTGTGATTAATGATAAAAAGGTCGAATTAACTCTTACTTTTCCAACCATCCAACATCATCCAAGCACTTCCCAACATCTCTCCACCGCCACCAACCTCATTATCCATCACCCAGTCACCCACCCACACCACAACCATCATCAACAATGTAACGACGATTTAAAAAAATAAAAAAAAATAAAAAAAAACACTCAAAAAAGGAGCCTAGCCTACCTACTATTTGTTTCCCATCTGTTAAAAATAAAAAAAATGTAACGACGATCTGTTATAAAATAAGGAGAAACATGATAGAGATTGTGAGAGAATTGATCAGTGTATTTCTATTCCATATGACGGGGTGTATATATATATATATGTATATATATATATATATATATATATATATATATATATATATATATATATATATATATATATATTAAGGTGTGATTGGATAAGAATATAAACCCTAAATCTATCTAAAATATTCTGGAATTATACAAAGAGTATAATGGGCATCCACACAATATTTCAAACTCCCCCTTGGATGTCCATTATCGAAGATTGCGGCTCGTTAAAACCTTAATAGGAAAAACCATGTGGGATAAAAACCTAATTAAGGGAAAAGAGTACAACATTCTTTGTAATACGCTCCGAATGCTTCCTCTTTAAAAACCTTACCAGGATAACCCAATTTGGGACAAAACCATGGTCAAGAGAAAAAGAGTGCAGCGCGTATATTCTCTCCTAGATGAATACATAACGTGAAATTTTCTAGTGCGATAAATCCGACGTGATATGGTTCGTTGGATAACTTCTCCCGTGTAGCAGGATACCATTTCTTGATAATTGATCCTTTCAAATTGAACTTCTTCAAATCTTCACATGAACTTATTAAGGCTTCTTCATTTTTTCATACCTTTGGAAATAATACAAGTATTTACCATTATTTCATTCGATAGTTTTGTTTCGAATTGTCATAACAATTAGATGTATGTCTTCTTCTGGAGGTCATATATACTATAAAATGATGATCAATAATTGATCCCATTATCCAAACACAATTTCATGGCAACACTTGATATCATCATATATATTTCATTTTTCAATATCATATGAATTAAGAAATTAAACTAATTACATATTTTGCTCATGGCTCTTCTAGACCATAAGAATATTATTCTTACTCAATTGTATCTCAACGTTATTCTCTAATTAGACATTTCATGTTTTATATGAGATTTCGCCAATGAATACAAAGACCTGTTGAATCTCACATACTCAAACTTCAGGTTGAGATATCGATGATGTAGTCATATTGACTTTTCAGGAGTTTGATAATAATTGCAATTTTCAAGATATAAAATATGTAGGGCTGGGTATCTATATACGTCGTATATAAGTTCTTTAGGAATTCTTCTTACATGATTCATAGCATGCTATTATTAAATTGATGTCATCAATAATTCCATCACTAGTGTAAGCCCATTGGAACATAAATATTTCTTTGTAATTTCCCATCAATGTTGTAAATATGCCTTACTATACTTTGGACAAACATTCACGCATACCACAATTATTATATAGAAACTAGCTAGTGCATGCAATATGAAATATATGAATCATGATAAAATGCCCTAAAAAAAAGGAATCATGATAAAATATTGAATAAAATATACAATGAGTAATGCATCTAACAACTTCCTAAACATGCAATAAATAATTCATTAACCTATGACTCACGCATGCACATGGATATAAGACTCAAATTAATGCAAGACACTGTATAGTGTGAATTTAAAAATCCATATTTCCACTAGTATAAAAAAGGAAATAGGCACCGCGTTTTTGGCACTGATTTTTAAAAACAGGTGGAAATTTAAGACGTTGGCACCGATTAACCGGTGCCAATTAAAAAAAAGAAAAAAAAAAAGAAAAATCGGTGTTATTTGGCACTGGTTAATAATAAAAAAAATAAAAAAAAAAAAATAAAAAAAAAAAACCGGTGTTATTTGGCACCGGTTAACCGGTGCCAATTAAAAAAAAAGCAAAAAAAAATCGGGCTGCTTATATAATTATAAACCCTTACAAAACTTTGGTGCTCATCCGCCACTTTTTGGCTTTGCTTTTCTCTCTCATCTCTAATTTCTCCTTCTTCGTTTTTTTTTTTTCAGTTCTCTTGTTCAAATAAAAAGATCAGAGAGGAGCTATCCATCTTCTTCCTCTTCAATTTTCAGAAACTAAACTAGAATATATACTAGATAGAGAGAAAAATAATCCAAAAATCATTATTTGCCCTCATCTCTGTCCTTCTTCCCCTTCCTCTCTCTGTTCTTTGTTGTTCTTGCTCTTCTCAACAACCATCGACACCAAGACAACAATCATCATCGCCGCCGATAATTATTCAAACCATGCAAACATCAGCCACCACTGCCCTCCGTTGGTAATCAAGATTTGAGGTTAGGGTTTGGTTTATTTGAGGTTAGGGTTTCAGTTTCTGGATTACGGGTTTTTCAGGGTTTCTGGTTATCTGGTTCCTGGTTTTTTTTTTTTTTTTTCTGAGTTTTTTCTAGGTTTATTCTTTTCTGGTTTATTGTATTCTTGGTTTTTGTTGGTTTTTTTTGTTTAAGTTTCTGAGTTCAACATTTCAAGGTTTTTTTGGGTTTTTCTGGGTTTGAAATTCCTGGGTTTTTCTGGTTTATTGTATTCTTGAATTTTTCTTGTTATTTTCTGGTTTATTAGTTCTAGGTTTTTATTGGTTTTTTGTTTGTTCAAAGTTTCTGAGTAAGTTCAACATTTTTAAGTTTTCTCAATTTTTTTTTATTTTTTCTCAGTTGTTTCTGGGTTTAAAGTTTTCTGGGTTTATTAGTTCAACATTTTAAAGTTTTTTTTAGTTCTTTTTATGTTCGAAATATCTGGGTTTTTCTAGGTTTAAATTTTTTAGGTTTTTTTGGGTTAGAAATTTCTGGGTTTTTACTTTTTCTGAGTTCAAAGTTTTTAAGTTCTGATTTTTATTGTTTTAATTGATGCAGGTTGGACATTTCTGATTTTTTTCAGTTTCAAGTTCGTGATTAAGCTAAGGTTGAAGTCGGAGTTTCTGGGTTTAAATTTACAGCTTTAATGATTGTAAATTGTAAATAACAATTGAATTGATTGTAAAATTACAAATTCAACGATTTTTCTGTTTTTTTTTTAATAAATTGTAAAATAAATTCAGCGATATTTATATGTGATTGTATATTACGGTTTTGGTGCTTTTTTTTAGGGAAGTTTGATTTTTGGTGTTTTGTTTCATTTTATATGGAGCTCTTTCCCAAATTAAAGTCAAGAAGAACCGCAATTCCCAAATTGCAGTCAAATCTTTTTATTTTCCCATTCTACCGTCCACGTAAGCACTGGTTAAAAAACCGGTTTTTTTTTTTTTTCCGGTCCAGGGTAAACCGCTACTTGAAGTAGCGGTTTCTTTGCAATAAACCGCCACTTCAAGTAGCGGTTTCTTAGTTTAAAACCGCTACTTGAAGTAGCGGTTTCTTTGCAATAAACCGCCACTTCAAGTAGCGGTTTCTTAGTTTAAAACCGCTACTTGAAGTAGCGGTTTGTTTACAAAAAACCGCTATTTTATGTAGCGGTTTACCCTGGACTGTTTTTTTTTTCAAACTTGCATAATCACTCAAAAAAAAAACCTGCAATTTGTGTACCTGTAAAACATGAGATATATAGCATTTTTCAACACAACCACCATAAATAACAAGTTTATGAAGATCTAAGGAAGTCGAAATTGCAAAGTCGAATATTTTTCAATTGATTAAATATAACAAAATCCAATTCTAAGCATTTACAAAAAAAATTAGTTTAGTTCCAAAATATACACTTAGCTCGGGCGTTGCTTCTTCCCATGAGGTGACGATGAAGATGATGCAGCTGTCTCCTCTGGAATGTCATCCAGGCCAACTCCAACCCCAGACGTAGTGTTGCTACGCCGTCGGTTTCTCTGATACTGGCAATGCACTAGTGGAGGAGATGTCATGATAGTATGCTGAGAAGGAGTCGGTGGACGGAAGGCACGTGCTGAATGGCCTCCACGATGAGGTGGTGGTCTGATCGGCATAGTGTGCACAGTAGAAGATGAAGACGTGGACGGTCGAGGCTGCTGAATAAGGTGTGACTGCCCCACCCTAGACAAGGTTTGGCCACAAAATGATGTAAAACCCTGCATCGTCTGTATGGCAAATGGTATAGCCGTCTCTGGTGGCAAGTGGGAGATGGTCTCAGTAGCTCCCGATAGCTGGACGTGCAAATCAGCAAATGCATGTGCCTACATTTAAGTGTAGTTTTAATGTTAGTAAAATGAAATAAAAAACGTAAGAACTAGATTGAAATAAAGTGAAGTTCATACAAGCAGGAGGTCAGAGGTAGCTGGCTGGTAATAACTCGGGGGGCGCTCCTGCGAAGGTGGAGTAATGACCAGTCTCGTGATGCGACGGTACCAAGCCATGTACTCTGTCATGGCCGGGGAAGAAGTCCCAGTGAACGGGTATCCCTGGACGACTAATGCCTCTCGTCGACTCCACTCGTGTACATGGTCCGAATGCCGAATCTCCCAATTACGCTGTCCCCTTCGATCCTTCCTGTGTAGAGCAACGTCCGTGTCTACATCCTGTGGGATCGGCTGGTCTAACCCGAACTGACGAAGGACTCGGTCTGGGAGGTGGAACTCAACGACGTCAAAGCATATCAGAGGTGCCCGTGAACGCCAAATGTGCATGTCTGAGCGACAAATCTCCGGAAGTCGATCCATCACCGCCTCAGTATATGGCTGCCAAATCATCTAATTCCCAAAACAAGTATGTCAACATGTATATGACTAACATAATGGAAGAAATACAATGCACAAAAAAAAAGAAACACCGATTGTACCTGGTCCTCGCGCTAATGGTCAAACGCATCTCTGTAGTATGGTAGTCCAGAAGCAGTATGCGCACACGATAGATGGACACGTAACCACCTGTAAAGACATGTTAATAATAATTCTTGAAAGATAGAATTGTAAGAACATGAACTTGAAGCAAACATTGTACCTGCACGCCAAAGGGTCAACACCTCGCTGATGCTGAGTCCCCAAAATGTCATCCTCATCCTCAGCCTCAGGGTCCTCCTGTGGCGGATCTCGAGGCCTCCTAATGTATGGTCGGCCAATAGTAATATGCTCCCACGACCACAACTGTAGTAGGATGAGCGGGCCTCCAATCTGTCTTGAATCTCGCTGACATGCTCGACATAGCTGCCGATACAAAAAACCAAGAGTCGCACTCCCCCAGCTGTAGGTCGAAGCTGTCTCCCAGTCTCGAAGGAACGGCAAGTAGTAGAGTGACACAGCATCGCCACTCTTGTCGGCGAACAGAATAGATCCCATGAGAGTGAGAATGTAAGCACGGCTATGGCGCTGAACTGTCAAGTCATCAGCTCCCTCTGGCATCTGTGAGAAGTGACGTCTGAGCCACGTCAACTTCAAAGTAGATCCCTCCAGAAACGGCTTACCGTTATCATCATGGCCAGGTCAAACTCCCAGCAACTCCTCAACTAGGTCATGCCATCCCTCAAATGGAGGTCCAATGACAGGAGGGCCGTGCACTCTCAGACCTAACAGGACGGAGACATCCTGTAAAGTAATGGTGGCCTCACCTACCACTAGGTGGAAAGTATGTGTCTCCTGCCTCCACCTCTCAACCAACGCCGTAAGAACAGATCGATCAAGCAAAAACCCTCCTCCCAAAATCCTATGTACACCGTAAAACCCAGCAAGCCTAACGTACTCTAGTACTCCGCCATCTACCCTCCACTCACGTCCCACGCTGACCATATGCTCCCTAACTGAGAGAACTCTATCAGCTACGCCACTCCAAACATCGTGGCTCCTATGGGAAGTCTGCAAGCGTAGAACAGATGGATCAACTGGGCCTGGACGAATCACCGGCTCCATGGGACCTACACGATAACAAAAAATTGAATTAATGTTAAGCGTTCGAGAAAAAACATAAATATTAAACAAGAATATATAATTAATCATGTTACCCAGATGATCCAAATCCACCAATAAGAGTAGGACATGTCTTCTTGTTATGCCCAGGTCGCCGACAAACACTGCATGCCTTCTTCACACGATAGGGACGCTCATGTTTCATTCTAGAAAAGACCATTATTAATCAAAGATATTAGATTGCAAAAATTCATTAACAGTGTGGCAATGTCCTAACATCAAGCAAGCAAACTACACAATTATAGCAACCTAAACTGAGCTATGAAGGTCTTAATACCTCTTGAAGCTCAACATGGGCATAAGTCATGACTACATGTACTTTGAGCTCATGTACTTTGTGTATAGAAGCTCTATTTTCACTTTCAAAATCAGCAATTATAGCAACCTAAACTGAGTAATGTGATCGAAACCATTAATAATTCTACAAGGGTTATATGTAAGGTAAGTAAATCAACAACAACAACCAAAACCAACCACAAACATACATACAATTCTGAAACTCAATAACAACAACAATAAACAAGAACACTAACAACAACAACACAACCAAAACCGAAACTCAATAACAACAACAATAAACAAGAACACTAACAACAACAACACAACCAAAACCGAAAGTCAATAACAACAACAATAAACAAGAACACTAACAACAACAACACAACCAAAACCGAAACTCAATAACAACAACAATAAACAAGAACACTAACAACAACAACACAACCAAAACCAACAACAACAACACATACATACAATTCTGAAACTCAATAACAACAACAAACTCAATAACAACAACAAACCCAATAACTGAATACAAAAAATAATTAGGGCACTTACCACAAACAAGAAGATCAGCACGTTTCTTCTGAAATTAGCGAAGCCGACCACTAAAGTCGAACCCTCGGCGTCAACAGCGGCGGCCTTCGTTGCTGAGGAATGCTCCGGCGGCGTCGGTGGATTCCTTGGCTGCGCCGGCTTCCGTTGAAGGAGGTGTGATTTTGGTGGAAGGCGTGGATGGGATTTTGGTGAGAAGACGAAAATGAAAGAGGAAAGTGAAATCAGGAAATTATACCTGCTAGAAAACCGCTACTTGAAGTAGCGGTTTATTAAACAAAAACCGCTACTTGAAGTAGCGGTTTATTAAAAAGAAACCGCTACCTGAAGTAGCGGTTTATTAGTAAAAACCGCTACTTCAGGTAGCGGTTTTGCTGTAGACCGGATTTAAAATTTCTTCCCCCTGAACCGGTGACGTGGACGGTACTTTGGGAATTCTTAAAACTTTGGCTGCAATTTGGGAATTGCGGTTCTTCTTGACTTTAATTTGGGAAAGAGCTCTTTTATATGTGATTGTATATTGCAAAAAAAAAAATTTAATTTTTGAAGGCACAGTTGGCACCGGTTAACCGGTGCCATAGGTAGTTAAAATTAAAAAAAAAAAAAAAAAAAAAAAGCACGGCACCGGTGCCCATTTATCTTTTTCGCCTAGTGTTCATTGGATTTCTGGCCCATGATAAACTTTTGATGTTATCATTATGTCGGACATCATAATAAACATATATTTTAGATCCCTTATTCACTAGTCCATTCTATTATGCATATGCATATTATTCATCGGTTTCATTGTGTATTGGTATCATAAAATTACTTTAATGTACATTTCGCATGTTATTTTACAATGATGTCTGAAATACATTTTGAATTGGTACCATTATGACTTTCTTATATCATAGGCCATCTATTATAGTTCAGATATCTATACAACTTTTATCTGGGGTATTTCTCACATTATGGTATTAATATACTATCATTACACTTAAAAAGCATCAACTGCACTATCTTGCCATATATCACATATTTATATTAGAACCGATCATACAACCTACACTTCAGGTGTAATGATTCAAAGAAAAACTAGCAAGATTTAACTTAATGTATGCACATAATATCATTATCACTATGACCAAAATGTATCTCTCTATGCCTCTAGACGGGTCATAACGGTATAGAAATCAAATTATAGATGTGCAAAATATCTCGATACAAAAGTTGACATGTAACTTTACAAAGTATCATTATATGGATCAACTAATATTAATTTTATAATTTTGCCAACTTACTCTTCTTCTCCCCCCTAAATTGGTAAAATATCTCAAATATAGGGACAATTGTTCACCAACTTAGAATATAATTTCATGTGCAAAAATTCCATCTCGTAGGATAATCATATTCAACAAATTTATCTCGTCTGGAGAATAATGAAATTTTGTTTTCTTCTAGAAATCAATATTAATAGGGGGTCATGAATTGTGGAGTTGTCTAGTTTCTTATTCTATTTCTTATGTGTTGACCTAAAATAGCCCCAATCAAGATATTAATCACTTGTATATAAAGCCACCATATGATGACCTTCTAATTCTCCAAATACTTTAATAATGAGTTTCTAGATAGTCAAAATCTCTACACACAAGTTGTTTTAGTGAGCTTCTGGTCACTTATTACTCATTCACATGCAAAATTGTTCAAAACTAGTATATAATCTTTTGAAATATCTCCAAAACAAACTATTAAAATCACAATCCAAATATAGCTCAATCTCAATGTTATGTCTTGTCATTCAATTCATTTCATATCTCTAACATGAGAGAGCGTCAGCGCTTTATATTTCATATCAAATGAAACTTCGAGTTTCCAAAACGGGTAATTATTAAACCAAGATGGCCTAATTTAATTATCACATCCAATCACTTTTCTAAATTCAAATTCTGGTCAGTTTTCCAGCACTAGTGATCACTTTATTAAACATATTTTATACATGACCATGAAAGTGATGTGATATTAGAACACAACCATGTGTTTCTTTATACAATTGGCAAGACAATCAACTAATACTTGATCCAATAATAACTCATGCTTTATTGAAACACTTTGAATATAATCTTGATACATGCTAATTTTGTTGGACATTTTATACTCTTATGGAGTAATTTATATAATCATGGAACATATGAAATTTACTAAAAGTGATTTATTATAGAAATGTAATGGGATTTATCAATTCCTCAAATTTGTCATTGTCAATAGTATCTCCTTTCCTTTTCGAAGATACTTAATTATCATTAAAACTTGTTGATCTATCACGCTTCAGGCGTGCTATAGGTTTATCAGTAATTGATGTTGTCCTTCTGGGAATGCATCAATTTTAATTGGAGCATTTACAACTATTATATGATCAATGACATTTATTTATATCCATCTTCAGGATGGTGTCATTTCAAAAATATTTAATTAACATGGGGTCACTTCTATTAAATAAATCGTTGATATTTAAGTTAATATATGTACCAAACTGACCATCAATATATTTTATTATTTATGTGCAAGGATTACATAAAATATTGGAATAAATACAATCTTCCCCCAATCCTTGCATATGGGGTATGAAATGAATCTAACAACCTTTAAATCTCTTTCGCCTTTTAAGGCATAAATTCTTTTAGCAATGCATGTATCAATCATAATAAAATTATTCTTGTAAACTCTTATTCATAACTCTTGTCCAATTATATTAATCTCTTATAAGTATGGGCATGATAATTATATCTTTACAAGTAAGTTTCCCACTATGTCATCTATCTCTTGCTCAAATATATATTGTGCAATCATGTTAAATTTGCAGATCGTATAATTTTTTTTTTTATTATTATTATTTATTTTTTTAAGAGAGAATCATAATCTAGTAATCTATAAATCATTAATATCACTCAAATAAAGAATGGTATCTATGATGACCACCAAATTAAATTTAATCACACATCAATCAATACTTATACCATCGTGTTAGTATGTTTCATAATAGTACCCTCTTATAAAGTTACTAACAATATGACCATAGTACAAAGTTAATGTCAATTATGATATTAATGTATGTACATGAGATAATTTAAAGTATATATTAAAAGAATAAAATTTGGAACTTCAAGTCCAAGATTGAAAAGGAGTATGCGATTATAGAGTATTAGCTTGCAACTTCTTATCATTGATTTTATAGTTTAAATACAATTGTACAGACATGCATCTGACCTAAACATCAAGCGATTCCTCAACAAAACAAATTAAGATAAATTAAAGTTGTAGATGAACACAATAAATAAAATATAGATATTTGGTCAATATTAAGGATGCAAAATAGACTTGAAATACATATAAAATGGGTCTTTTGGCTAATGGAGCTACGAATTAATAAAGTCAATCTTATCTTTATTAGTTTATTATACATAAATATCTTGATGAGTAAAATATCTTAGAATTATGGTTAAGAAGCTAAAGACTTGATATTATGTGAGGCAATGATCAAATACTCCATATCCAATCAAAAGAATAATATCAAACATCACACAGTAATACTTATACCATGATTTATTATAATAAGGTAGCAATGATAATCATAAATCATGCCTTAAAATAAACAAGATAACATTATGATATAACTTAACATATGTCATAATCATGTAACAAAAGCATATGTTAACTAGTATATAAGTAATTATTCCTCATTTACATCTTCATTCACTAGAGGTATAATGCAGTACAAAGAAAAAATCCTACGGAGGAAATGTTATAAAATAATACGAAGTAACAATTAGTCTTGCAATAGTAATTCATATATCCTCAATTATGATCTAGTTATAAATCAACGAAAGTTACTCATTACCATACAACAACAACAAACGAACCAAAATAAATAAATAAAAAAAAACGAAAGTTGTCGTTGTTTAATAAGCCCTTTTGGTTTGATTCAATTACTCATTACCATTTCAAAATAGGAAATTGTGTTACAAAGCGATGTATCCTACGAAGTAATTGCTAAAATATAAATTTTTGCTATGAAGTCATAAAGAAACTACTATAGAAGAAATTATTGGAGTCAAGTAAAACACAAGCACAATAATATGCATAATGTTCCGTGTTTATTAATGTACCAGGCACAATATTTATACAAGGAAGAAAACAAAAGCTTTGCTCACCAAGGCTGTTAGTTTCCTAATAAAAGATATACTTAATAAAAGATATCCTATCAAAACGATAGTTGAATATATGAAAATATTATGCCTTAATTCACGTGATACTTTTGTTGACAATGACAATGACCCACTTCCCTCA